CGTGTGTTCGGCAATGGCGCGATTCGTCAAAATTGATCAAAGTATCCCGTTGCTTGCCAGGTAGTGTTGTGGCTCCATCTCACCTCTCTAAATTACTCTTACGGCTTCCACTGTTCATATTTGTCTCTCCTCCACCCGGTAATCTGACAAACTGTCGCGTTTTCTTGTATTGTTTATTTCCCCTCGATCCTAATTTGCCCCATTGCAATTCGTTTCTTGCTTATTTTGAAGAATAAATGTAACCGCAACATAGTATCCTTATGATGATTACGTTCATTGGGTTAGTGTTCAGTTTTAGGGAAGAACACTGAAAATCTCATTAACGGACCATGTTTGATTTCTTTGGATCTTTATTAATGATCCCAACCATATTTCGGTACCGTATTCTCCTCAGTTTGATCCCGATGACAGGTGATTTTGAAGCTCAATTTCAATGTTAATCACGTGTTTAGTACTCTCAAAACACTAAAGGTTGTAACCACAGCAACACGGCCTCGTGCGAACAATTCCGAAGGAAATTTAAGTTGCTTTTTCACGAAATATAATTCGGTATTCATAGAGGATCTTAAATACTTCGAAACTGACAGAACAAGCATTACAGTTTGATTAGATGTTATAACGTGAGTGATTTCTTTTTCAGTCAACACGGATACAATAAGCACTGTCTCCTGATGAAACTTTTAACTTGAGTAGACGGTACAACATGTGCTTCAGCATTTGCATCGCCCTAGGAAACCGATTTTACCGTCCGAATACGATCCCTCTACATTTTTCGGACTTCTTGTTTTCAGGTCAGCCTTCTTGTTTTAACCATCGTCATTTCTGTACTGCCATGATTCTTCCGAATTCAGGCTTGAACTAAGCAAACAGTCCAATGTTGAATATGGGAAACGTCCTCTTTCTTTGATCCATTTGAACAAAACAATTAACACAATATGGGCAGTGTTAATAAAAGCCATGAATTTCGCGTGCTCTCAATCACCTGTCTACGCACATTACATAGGTTAGGATACCATACGTAGGTATTTACATAATGACGTGGGTTCAAGCGGAAAAACACTGGGTTTTCAGTCTTGACGATATCCATTCTGCTCATATTGTGTTACTTCAATTTGAATTTCCAAAACGAGACCACTGTCTTTCGGCTATACTCAATTGCCTCGATTCTTCCGAGGTTCGAGCAGCTTCATTCTCATCCAAAAAATGCTCCCACGAAGCGCTTGTGCTAAAGTAATTATAAAAATTAAAAAAATGTATTTTTACCTCCTTTTTCTATTCATTGAATTTTCAAATGTACAGTTAACTTTCAGAGAGGGGGTTGCGGCCATACAAAGGCTGCCTGGGGAAAGTACAGATGTAGTGAAGACGTGCGGCGGTGGGGCGCTTTGAACCCGGGACACTCAGGTCACTGGTTGGTAACCTAACCACTTGGCCACCCCCGCCCCATTGGCGAGGGGAGCGGGAAAACCAATTTTCCGCATGTTTTATTGGTCTGATGAACCGTAGGCAGATAGCACATCTAGGAGGATTGCGACTCCCGGTAGGAATGACATGAGATTGGGCTTCAGAGCATTCTGTTTGTAGCACACGTATGTTCTCACTGGACGACCCGTGTGATATGGCTTATACAGACGACATTCCATGGCTACTTGCAGACCTAGGTAAGTTGCAAGTATCTCTGGCTGGTTTGCCTGCGTCTTACACCTTGAGATCATAAAGTTTCTTCAGGATTGTGTTGGTCCCAACCTCATTCTAACTGGGAAGCAGTAGAAAAAGTATACCACTTGTTATTTAAACAGCTTGATCTCACCTGTCAGAAGCGTCATGAATGAAGTTGTCATGCATACACAAGGCTCGATTGACAATCTCCAACTTGAAACATGGTGCGGTCGAGACACCCGATTGCATGTGAAACGTGCACTTTACCGTTCAGCGGTTCGACAGGTGATGCTATATGATACAGCGATGCAACCGAGATCGCCTCACGAATGTGGCCATGCATTGGCTAGACAAAAGCACGAGAAAATTCACCTGTTTGGAAAGCTATATGTTCCGCCCACAGAAAAGCCTACGATTGGGTTACATTTTTAGTTGCGAATTTTTTATCGCGATTTTCAGCACTGCCCGTGAACAATCCTTACAGCATATGCTTCATTCTGTTTTTGAAAACTNGAAATTG